AGGTAGATGATTAAGGAAAATCAAAAGCCGAGGGCCTTTTCTAGCCAGGGGTCAAAGTATTCGCAGCTCTCGGGACTGACAGCTCCGCCGGGAGCGCAGAGCTTGAAAACCGGACAGTTGCCGCAGGGTGCTTCGGTCATGCCGTTCTTGACTAGCCTGTCGTCGATGCCTGCGTCGTCGGTCCGGGGCTTGCGCGCTTGTTGGGATTTGACTTGTTCGGGGTTCTTGACGGATTTGTAGAATTCGCCGTTGTTCAGAGATACTAGCTTGTTGTCGTAGCAGAGCATCTCTAGGAGCTGCGTGATACTCTCTTCGCCCAGGCGGACAGGTGTGATGCCACTCTCGTTCACGGCGGCTGTTAATTGAGGTATGGTGGGGTAGCCCTGGTACCCGGCTGGGAAGGGGAGGTATTCCTTTGGAGCGCCTTCTTGCTTGACAGCTACACCTCCGTCCGCGGTCTTCATGCGCTTGTTTCGAGGTCCGTCCGAGGAGGGGGCCTCGTACCAACTCTTCCGGCTCACGGAGTACTCGATAAAGCCGGCGACGCTGTTGATGAAGTTCTCGTCCAACACTCCGTCGGTAAACCAGGCTCCTCCAGTCACGTCTTCACTTGGGGCGAGGTTCGCCAACATGTACATCTTCCGGCTGGGGAATTTGACATTGTGAACGCTCTTGATGTAGCTTTTCGTTTCCAGGGACTTGAGGCAGCGATCGAGAATGGATTTGTGGAGGTTGGTGCGGTTGCCAATTGCGCGGACCCAGATACCGGATCGTCCTGTCGAATGAATGACATTGTAGACTAAACTCTCGTCGGGGTTTAGGTCTCGAAGTCTAAGCAGGAGGGTTAGTGGTGGGGGTTCCTATGTCAAGCTCTCATCGATAGGAATAGTCCTACTTTTCAGCATCATCTCGCGAAATAATCTTCCAGGCTAAGCGGTCATTTTTGCCCTGGAGGAGTCGAAAGAGCTTCTGGTTGACGAGCGACTGGGCGCAGCTCAAGAGAAGGGCGAGGTCATTCTTGGGGACAATGTTCAGACCCAGGAGATCTTGCTGATAGAACAGATGATCGGAAGGGAACTGGTTGACACAAGCGTCGTAAAGTCGAGAGGCCAGTTCGTTGACCGAACTGCCTGACGGCCCCGCGGAGGCCATTTTCACGACGACGATGGTAGTGGAGTCGTTAACAGGAAACTATCACCGGACGGGCTCGTGAAGGGGCATGATCAAGAATGCATCCCAGGTCGGACGGTCGCTGCAGAAGCCGGGACAAAGCAATGCCCGGGAAGTTGGCAGGGAAAGCAGGCGCAAAGTTGACGGTCGTCGAGAGGGAGAATCGAGTTTCGCAGGCCGAAAAGAAGATGTTTTTGGCGGCTTTTCTTTCTCTTTAGGTTTAGCGGGGGAGTCACCTTGGCCCGGAAGGGTTTAGGGCCAGTCCTAGCTTTGACAGTCTGTGTCTGCCTTGCAGCCTTACTGCCTCATGATGTGCACTGTGGCCTCAGGCTGGAACCCTGTCTCTCGGAAATTTCGAGAAGCTCCCGGCAAAAGAGAAGAAGCTCCGGTTTAACTGATCTGCCCGGTCCAGCTGCCCCCGTCTCTCACTTATTTCCCCAACTCACCACCACACTTCCATCCTTTTGCTTCTACATCATATACCCTTTGGAAGTTACACAGCATGGCTGACGCTCTGAAAGCTGAAGGCAACAAGGCCTTCTCCGCAAAGGACTATGCTACTGCGGTGTATGTATCTTTCTCCCCGGTTTACCCCGCTTGCAAAAAGGTCTGGGAGAATCGAAGCCGTGAACCGCAGCTGATTGGCCTATAGTGAAAAGTTCACCCAAGCTATCGAAATCGAGCCCTCAAACCACATTCTCTACTCCAACCGTTCGGCTGTCTACTCCGCGCAATCCCAATACGAGAAGGCCCTCGAGGATGCCAACAAGGCTACGGATCTCAAGGCGGACTGGTCGAAGGGATGGCTCCGCAAGGGTGCCGCTTACCGTGGTCTAGGCGACCTCTGTAAGTTGAGATATGTAGTGCGGTGAGACTGGACCCGGGTTACTAATACGTGTGTAGTGGCTGCCCACGATGCGTACGAAGAGGCCCTCAAGCTCGAGCCTACCAACGAACAGGCCAAGACCGGTTTCAATGCTGTCAAGAGGGCTATCGAGGCCGAGGCCACGGCCGACGGTGTTACTGGTGACCCTATGGGAGGACTCGGTGGTATCTTCAACGACCCTCAGATGTATCAGAAGCTGGCCAGCAACCCCAAGACCTCCCCGCTCTTGGCCGACGCCGACTTCATGGCCAAGCTCCAGCGCATTCAGCAGAACCCGAACAGCGTTGGTCAGGAGATTCAAGACCCTCGCTTCTTGCAGGTTATGAGTGTGTTGCTGGGTATTGACATGAGCTTCGGCGCTCCCCCGGAGGGCGCTAGCTCTGCGGGTGCTGCCCCCGAGGCTGAGGAGGATGTGCCCATGCCCGATGCTCGCCCTGCCGCTGCTGAGAAGAAGAAGGAGCCTGAACCGGCACCCGAGCCCGAGGCTGAGCCCGAGGACGAGGAGGCGATCGCCAAGAAGAAGGCCCAGGAAGCTGCTGACGCCGAGAAGAAGATTGGTAACGACTTCTACAAGAAGAAGCAGTTCGATGAGGCTATCGAGCACTACAACAAGGCCTGGGAGCTGCACAAGGATATTACGTACCTCAACAACCTCGGTGCTGCCAAGTTCGAGAAGGGTGACCTCCAGGGCGCCATCGAGACCTGCCAGAAGGCCGTCGAGGAGGGCCGTGAGCTCCGTGCCGACTTCAAGGCCCTTGCCAAGTAAGATACCTGTGGCTGTGATTACCGACGCGTTACTAACTCAGTTGTCTACAGGGCTTTCGGAAGAATCGGTACTGCACACGAGAAGCTGGGCGACCTTGCCCAGGCCATCGAGTACTACCACAAGTCGCTCACTGAGCACCGCACACCCGATGTCCTGACTAAGCTGCGCAACGCCGAGAAGGCCAAGGCCAAGGCCGAGAAGGAGGCCTACGTTGACCCCGCCGAGGCCGAGAAGGCCCGTGAACTGGGACAGAAGAAGTTCCAGGAGGCTGACTGGCCTGGTGCCGTCGAGGCCTTCTCCGAGATGGTCAAGCGGGCGCCTGAGGACCCCCGCGGTTACTCTAACCGTGCCGCTGCCCTCATCAAGCTGATGGCATTCCCTCAGGCCGTTCAGGACTGCGACGAGGCCACCAAGCGTGACCCCAAGTTCATCCGCGCCTACATGCGCAAGGCCCAGGCCTTGATCGCCATGAAGGAGTACAACAAGGCTCTGGATGCCTGCACGGAAGCTTCCGAGCACGACGATGGCACCCACGCTCGTGAGATCGATCAGCAGCAGCAGAAGTGCCTGGAGGCTCAGTTCAGCGCCCGTGCCGGCGAGACCGAGCAGCAGACCATGGAGAGAATCCAGAACGACCCCGAGGTAAGTCATGACCACCACTCCAAGAGCTTCAAGGATATCTCGACTAACTCTTCACAGATCATGTCCATCCTCCAAGACCCTGTCATGCAGAGCATTCTGCAACAGGCCAAGAGCGACCCTGCCGCTCTGCAGGAGCACATGAAGAACGCCCAGGTGCGGATGAAGATCCAGAAGTTGATGGCTGCTGGTGTCATTCGCCTGGGACGGTGAGGAGCGAGCAGTATAAATGAAAGCCCACACATTCCTAGTAATGCAAATGAAGAAAAAGCGGACTGGATTGGCACGGCGATTAATTGATGTCTTTGTTTTTTACGGCGATTACGATGCATGTGTTTCTAGTGACATGAGATGACATCCGAATTGATTATATATCAGTTGCAACCTTGTTAAGTTACGATTAGTCCACATGTAGAAACTAAACCCCCACCCTAGCTTAAGCGTTACTAATTGAAGACAGTAGTAACTACTAAGTAGTGACGGCGATGACCGAGATGCAAAATAGCAGTAGACCGCCACGCCACATGCCTGCCTGCTCCCTCGCTTAAAACTACTACAGCCAAGCCACATCAAGATTGCAGACAGCGCCTTTTTTTCTGGATCCAGATCTGGCTTTAGATCCGAATCGGATAGCCGATATCCGTTCCAGTGATCAATTCAGAGCAGTTGTCTGTCTCTTTGACTAAAGTAGTAACTTAACACTAATAGATGGTGGTGGGTAATCCCCGATCCCCGACGCGATCCAATTTCGAACCACTTTTCTTCCTTTTTCATTCAGCGCATTCCAGCCACACCACACCACACCACATAACACCTACAATAACTCCGTAGATATCAATTCCGACTCTTCCGATAGAAATCCATTTCACAATTGACTACTGTAGGCAAGGTAACAATTACGAAGGTACTCTATACCTCTCCTTTCTTATTATATATTCCCCAGCCACCTACCTACACTCTTTTCCAATGGTTGGGTTAGTATCCAGAGAGTACTAGATAAATTCCGCGGTAGGCGAAACCTCGGACATAAGTGGTAGATAGTAATTAGTCTACGGAGTAAGTAGCTTGGTAACCCCACTGTTCGTTCCGAAGACCCAGCCTCAGTTCCAGTTCCAGTTTTCAGTTTTCAGTTCCAGTTCCCAGCCACTCACTCGTGAATTAAACCTCAAAAGGATACTTAACTTAATTTGAGTTTCGTGTTTGTTTGTTGGGTTGGATTGATTTTAATGAGTGCGTCGTCATCTCATCGGGTAGAGATAGCTTCAATGCTTTCATCATACCAGATAGATAGATAGTATACAATAAAATTGTTGACTCTTTGTAAATTAATCAATTGTAGTGGTAGTGGTGGTGGTATATCTCCTTTTATCTCCAATCGGACCCGAAAGGAATTGTCTGTCTGTTCTAACCCGTTTAGAAAGTATCCACTAGTAGTAGTCATTAATGTAGTATGTGGGCGTGGGTGAGATTACATTGTGGCAAATTCGCATCTGAAAATTGCCTTTTTTTTTCTCCGCCCATCCATCCATCCATCCATCCGTCAAGTCTGGGTCCGTGCCGGTTTGTTTTATCGTTCGTTCCTGCTGTGGTACGTACGTACATTACCTTTTCTACTGGGCAGCGGTCTGCCCACTGGGTATGTGTGTGGCTGGTGAGAAGAAAAAGGGAAATCCGCTGGGCTGAGCTGTAGCTGCTAGTACAATGTGGTTAGTCAAGTTTAATCATTGTGGAAGTCATTTCCGGATTGTTTGCTTTGCTTGTTTGTTAGTTGGTTACTTGGTTGATTGTGGATGTGACTGTGAATTTAGGGTTGGTAATTCGTTTGGGAGGTATTTATCATTATTGTTTGTGAGTACTACGGAGTACACTTTTGGAGGGTGAGTGGCATACTGTGTATACTGTGTAAGTAAGTGGTGAGATTTGCATTACAGCCAAGTAGATAGGCCGATCGATGGTGGTGGTGGATTCCCGACACGGGCTGACAACAGTACGTAGAATAATAGTTAAAGAGAAAGTGAGTGAGAAAATTGCAGATCCGTTGGAACAAAACAACTTTCATGTCAAAGTTTTAACTAACCGACTGCTTCTTTTTTTGTCTCAAATCGGATTGGATCTACGATGATTGCGTAGACAGGGTACAAGGGTTTGTTTCATTTTTCTTTGGTTGCTTTATTTTCTTTTTGTTCCTGATTTATAATTGTATTTTTTTAGTGTGCTGTAAGATAATAATAAATACCAAGTGTGAATTGTGAAAGCGCTGTAGCCTGCCTGCATTATTATGTATACTTGCAGATTTGTTTTTCTTATTGTTGCAGCCTTGGAAAGGATGATGGGATGGAATGGACAGTTCATTGCATGCCACGTGTAACAACACCTTGCCACTTTTTACTGCATGGGATAACGATGTTAGCGCTGATGATGATGATGATGATGATGGATCCCTAGTTAGAAAATTAGAGGTTATACTTGACTAGGAAGGGGTTACGCATGCAGTGTAAACTTGGAAGGAATCAATCCTAGTAAAGTCTTAGTAGTCTAGTACTACTCTTCTCGTTCTTTGGATATTGGATATTAAAATCTCCATACTATTCTACTAGTTACTAAAGAGGAGAGGGGGTATGGACCTTAGGGCTACCAACCAAAGTTGCAGTTAATATTCTCAGGTCAAAATTGACAAATAAGAACGAGCATGACTCGTGGAATTGGGACTGTAGTCAATATGTGCTGGTCAACACTAAGCCCTGGGAGGGTTAGAATTCCGGCTCTAGGATGGTTAGTTAGCGAAGAAAGCCAAACCAAAGCCCGAAAGAAACTGCGAGAGGGAGAGAGGAGAACTTCGGAAATCAGAGGCAGAGGAACCCGCAATTGTGGCGGAAAATCAGGAAGGGGGAAAATGAGGAGAGGAGAAAATCCCAATCGGTGGCGGTGCAGGGCACAATCCATAATGCCAATAGATCGTAGGCCGGCGCCCACTAGTCGATCGCGCCGGGGATGGTCCGCTGCTTGACAGGATATCCATGGTAGATGGCGTTTCGGATCGTGCACTCTGGGCGGAGATACTTCATGTTGTTGTTCGTGTAGATGATTAGAAACTGGGTGAATTTGAATAATTTACTTGATTATGATTATCTTCCGATTAAATCGGGGAAAAAGATGGAACAGGCCACTGCCATCTGTGCTTGTGTACTAGTACTTTGTAAATAGTTGGAGATCTCCTGATCGTTAGTACTTAGGGAGGAGTAAGACGGCGTACCGGGAATCTGGAAGGGGGCAGATGTGGGGAGAAGGGCTCACAGTAATGCAGATGCTGCCTCCACGAGAATTGGTCGCCTTGGATGCGATCGGCAGCCGTTCCCTTCTCGAAGATCCTCTCTCTTTTTATTTTTCTCCTCTTTGCTTTTTTTGGTGCTCTTGATGTCATGGCCACATCTGCCGCACAGATATTAATATTAATTCCTTTTCTTTTATTAAATGGAAACTGTCACAATTGAATCCAGGTTTCGCATCCCGAGTGGTACCGACATTAGGTCGTGCAGCCGTCACCGTTTCGAGTCCCTACCGTATTGCTGTCCAGTAGATAGACATTGTGATATGATATGATGATTTATCCCACCTAGGCAATAATAAAAATAATAATCGGAATTGCTGAAAGAGTCTAAATTTGTCTGGATCGACCAAGAATAGCAAAGTGGCCTTCACCAGCCACGATTCCTTTTCCTTTTCTCTTTTTCCCTGACGCAAGTGGCTAGAAAGTTGCTGTGACTTTTGCGAAACTCAATCCACTCACTCTCTTCGTCCCGATCGATCATCTTCTCGTTTGTCTCCTCGGTATCCCCTTCCCTTCTTCTTCCCCCCGTTTCCTCTTCATTACTACGTATCTTTTCCCTTTTTCCCTCCCTCTCCCTACTCTCCTCCCCCATCATCATCATCCGGCTTTAACCTTCAGGTAAGTAAAGCTTGTTTCCCGCTTCTCTCTCCCCCAATTCCCTCCTTTCCCATTCCTTTACTCCTATCCCCATCCTACTACTACCTTCCATTCCCCCCGACCATCCCCGACATTTCTCCCATCCATAGCTTTCCCGGAGCTGCCGTGCCTGAGCCACCTCCCCGCTGCGGAGGCCTTCCACCGTCCCACGGCAAGGCAACCATCCAAACACTAAGCGCCAGCAATCTATCCACTTCCTTCGGCGTGGTCCCTCAACTCCTCTATCCTTATCCACTTTTTTTTCTTCGCTCCCTCTCTGCGTCCTTTGTAGTACCTTTGTTTGTCTCATCTTCTTATTTCTCGAACTTCCCCCCCTCCCCTCCCCCTCCCCCTTGCGATTTCCCCTCATCTACCACCACCGCCCACCAAACGCATAGGGGAAAAAGGCAAGTTCCATTGACCGGATCATCCAGGTTGTACCGGTTGGGGATTTGTAGTAGGTGAATTTTCACCCGAGGCTCGCACCCTCTTCCTCAACCCCCTCAGAGCCATGGCGTCGCAAGACGTAGAGGGCAGCAAGGCCGAATTGAAGCAGCAGGGCGCCATTGAGGTCGCCCAGCAGGCCTCCCAGGACCCCCAGTCCCACCTCCGGGCCGAAGCTGTCGAAAAGGCTCTGGTCGAGGAGACCCGAAAGGCTGGCGTCCCGGCCTATCAATTCGATCCCGATGCATCCCCGGACGACAAAGCTGCCGCAGCAAGAGCCGTAGGTTCTCCCCGAGATTGACGGGTGTGTCGCGTGGGCATCTGTGAGCTGACAAGAGCTTCCCTGGTATCTAGCGTCTCCCCCCGGGCTTTCATCATGACCATAAACCGAAAGGTGTGGCTGTCGTGACTGACAAGGTAAGCTTCATACCCAATCATTGCCTTTGGCTGTTCGCTTTTTACACCAGAGAACTATCGCTAAGCACTTTTGGCCTACTATAGGACGACGGCACCCCTGATCAGTACGACCTACCCCCTCCGAGATCCGCCACCGACCTCCTGCAGGAAAAGGCCGACGAGGCCTCGGCTGCTCCAAATGGTGAAGCTCCTGTCGAAGAAGACATGCGCTGGGCTCGCGACCGGACCGGTTGGGCCCCGCAGTTCGAACACCAGCCAACACAGGAAGAAAAGGAGGAAGGCACACTTCTGGATCACCAGACTTTCCTGGAGGGAAGACTGGATGACAAGTTCTTTGGAGGTGAGGAGATCTGCAGCTCTTTAGCCGCTCGAGGGGAAACTGACCGACTGCTTAGATTGGTACCACAACGCTGGTGTCATCGTGTTCGCCTGTCTCTCGTCATGGGTTATCGCAGTTCTAGGCGGAGGTTTGGCCTGGATCTTCATTGTCATGGCCGCTTGTAGTACGTATTACCGCACGTCCATTCGCCGCGTCCGCCGCAACTTCCGAGACGATGTGAACCGTGAAATGGCCAAGCAGCGCCTGGAAACCGACACCGAGAGTCTGGAATGGATCAACAGCTTTCTGGTCAAATTCTGGCCTATCTACGCTCCCGTCCTCTGTGATACGATCATCAACTCGGTTGATCAGGTTCTGAGTACCTCCACCCCGGCAATGATCGACAACTTGCGCCTGAAGACTTTCGTGCTCGGTTCTAAGCCGCCGCGTTTGGAGCACGTCAAGACATACCCCAAGACCGAGGTCGACACCGTCATCATGGATTGGAAGTTCAGTTTCACGCCCAACGACACTATGGATTTGACTGCCCGCCAGCTGAAGAACAAGATCAACCCCAAGGTTGTTCTGGAAGTCAGACTGGGTAAAGGTCTGGTCAGCAAGGGTCTCGATGTCATCGTCGAAGACATGGCTTGCACCGGTTTGATGCGCGTCAAGGTTAAGCTGCAAATCCCATTCCCTCATATCGAGCGAGTGGATGTGTGCTTCATGGAACCCCCCGAGATCGACTATGTCTGCAAGCCCCTTGGTGGTGATACCCTCGGTTTCGACATTAACTTCATTCCTGGTCTGGAGACTTTCATCAAGGATCAGATTCACAGCAACCTGCGCCCGATGATGTACGCTCCGAATGTCTTCCCGGTTGAAATCGCCAAGATGCTGGCTGGCAACGCGATTGACCAAGCTATTGGTGTCGTTGCTGTCACTTTGCATGGTGCTCGTCAGCTTAAGAACCCCGACGCGTTTGCCGGTACCCCTGATCCGTATGCGGTTGTCTCTTTGAACAATCGGGTTGAACTGGGCCGCACTAAGACAATCAACGATACCGACAGCCCCAGGTGGAACGAAACGATCTATGTTATTATTACGTCCTTTGCTGAGTCTTTGACTATTACCCCGTATGATTGGAACGAGTTCCGCAAGGACAAGGAATTGGGAGCTGCCACCTTCCCTCTGGAGAGGCTCGAACAGCAGGCCGAACACGAGGGTCTCTACCTGGAAGTCATGGCAGGCGGAAGATCTCGCGGTGCGATTCATGCGGATATCCGGTTCTTCCCTGTCTTGGAGGGAACCCCGCTTGAAAATGGTCAGACTCAACCGCCCCCGGAAATGAACACCGGTATCGCTCGTTTTGTCGTGGAGCAGGCTAAGGACTTGGACGCTTCGAAGAGTATGGTTGGGCAGCTCAACCCTTACGGTGTCCTCCTCTTGAACGGCAAGGAAATCCACATCACGAAGAAGCTGAAGCGCACGAACAACCCTATTTTCCAGAATGCCTCCAAAGAATTCCTGGTCACTGACAGGAAGAGTGCCCGTCTCGGTCTTGTCATCAAGGATGATCGTGACCTTGGCAGGGACCCGGTCATCGGTACCTACCAGATCAAGATGAACGACATGCTCAAGATGATGGAGAAGGGCCAGCAATGGTTCCATCTGAATGGTGCTAAGTCGGGCCGCGCCAAGCTCATTCTGGACTGGAAGCCTGTTGCACTGGCTGGAATTGCTGGTGGCTCTGGCTATGTTGATCCCATTGGTGTCATGCGTTTCCACTTCAAGAGTGCAAGTGATCTTCGGAACTTGGAAGCCTTCGGTGCTTCCGACCCATACGCAAGGGTTTTGCTCTCTGG